CTTCTACTCATTACACAGTAATAGAGGGGATTTGTTACATACAATTTTAAGGCAGAATTCTTTCATTTGAGCTCTAAAGAATTTTTATGTGTAATAACCAGATGATAGCTCAATTTCCACTTTATTTTGTGGATATTTGGCCTGATTCTTACAGAGAGCATGTTTTCCCCATTCACATACATCTTATTTTTTTCTTAAGTTTATATTTACAAGTTGAAATCTTTTCCTTTATGCAGTAAATGTTTTTTTCTTTTCTTTTAGATTAAATCAGTTTATTAAAACATTGTTCAGATCCTGTGAGACATCGCTGGAGCCAGTACGGTGCTATGAAGAACTATGAGATTTAGCCTGGACAGTAACTTGTTTCCTGGAGAATAGATTAAGTATTCCATTCTTCTACAATGGTTAATCTACTCAGAAAACAAATGTTTAGTATTTCCATAGGACTTTACTGCTCAGCAATCATCCTGCTTAAAATATGTATTTGTTCTCAGTTCTCAATGCCATCTAGTGACCAGTTCAATAAGGACCCTGGGGCTTTCCCAGTAGCCACGAATGGGGAACCATTTCCTTGGCATGAGCTAAGGCTCCCCAAGATGGTCATTCCCCTCCACTATGACCTTTTAGTCCATCCAAATCTCACCTCCCTGGACTTTGTTGCATCTGAGATGATCGAAGTCTTAGTCAGAGATGCCACTGAATTTATCATCTTGCACAGCAAAGATCTTGAAATCATGAATGCCATCCTTCATTCAGAGGAAGATTTGAGATACAGGAAACCCGGGAAAAAGCTAAATGTTTTGAGTTATCCTGCTTATCAACAAATTGCACTGCTGGTTCCAGAGAAACTCATGGCTGACCTGAGATACCATGTGGCAATTGACTTCCAGGCCAAGCTAGCTGATAATTTTGAAGGGTTTTATAAAAGCACATACAGAACTCTTGGTGGTGAAACAAGGTAAGACATTGTTCCAGCTGTTTACAGTCTCTCGTGATATTTTCCTTATGTGTTACATCTCTTTGCCAGGAGCATGCTTCAGCAGTCGCTTATTAAAAGCCCAATAAACTGTGGCAAACTAGGAAGAAGGAAAAGCTCCATCATTTTTTAGGAAAGTCACAGTCAACCTGGGAAGACAGCATGCAGAGGCATAAACAGCTGAAGGGAGAATAACTTGGAGGAGAGGCCAGTATGTGAGTGTGATAAGACAGACATGTTTGTGTGCTCTAAAAATGGATGGTCAATGCAGAGAGAGCTAAAATAGGGAAGGCTTCTCAAAGGAGATGAGCCTTGATCTGAGACCAGAGAAAATGTGAGATTTGGGTTAAGAGGAAATGAAAGTATGTAGGTGGCCCAGGAAATAGCATCACTCAAATCTAGGAGGCAGGAACAAGTGTGTTTGGAGAACTGAGAAACACGGTCTATTAAATCAGCTCACATTTATTGAGCATATACTATGTGCCTGGCACTGTTCTACACTTTGAATGAGTAATGGTGAGATTTGGACCAGGTAAATAATAAATGCTATGAAGGAAATAGAAAAAAGGTGCTGTAATAGAGAGTACCTAATGTAGCTGGAGATTGGCACTAATTTAGCTGAGATGTCAGTGAAGTCCTTGTCAAGGAGGTGTGTTTAAACTGAGACCTAACTTTTTCTTTTTTAAAGAGACAATCATGAGGACATCTTAGGACAAAGTGTCCCCAGCAAAGGAAGCAGCAAGTGCAAAGGCTGTAAGGCAGGACCAATTGAGATAAAAAGGTCAGTGTGGCTTGAAGAGCATGAGCAAGAGACAGAAGTAGTTTAAAGAGATCAGATCATGCAGAGACTTAAAGCCTCTTGCAAGGAGTTTAGGCTTTTACTCAAGTGCAACGGGAAGTCATTGAAATGCTTTGACCAGATCTGTGTTTATAAAGACCAAGTGTATGTTGAGGATCTGATATAGAGAGGAAAAATTAGAAGAGTAATCATTTAGGAATCATTGCAACAGTTCAGACAAGACATGATTATGGCTAGTGTCGGGTAGTGGTGGTGCTTGTCGAATGAAGTGATTGAACTTGGCATTTCTTTTGGAGGATAAAACAGGCAGAATTTGCTGACATATTGGTTTTGTGAAGTGAGAGAAAGAGAGGAATCAGAGTGGATGATTTGGTTGTGCAGTGCTAAGGACCATCTGGGAAGGAAGAGAGTCCTGCTTTCAGGGCTATTCCATCTTTTATCAGTTGTATTCAATTGCCAGTTAGAAAAAACCCAAACACGATGGCTTAACACACACGGAGTCATTTTTCTTATGCGACAGCAAGTCCAGGAGCAGGGCAGTGCAGGCTTGCTACAATGCTTCTCAGTGTTATCCAGGACTCAGGCCCTTTGTATCTTTCTGCTCAACCATGATTTTTTGTACCTCTAGGCATCAAGTTCACATTCCAGGCAAGAAAAAGGGGGAGAGAAAAAGGCAAAAGGAAATATTTCAGCTGAGTCTGACTCCTTGTACAAAGCTTTCCCACCCAATGACTTCAACTAGATCACAACTAGTCCAACACATCAAGCTGCAAGGGAGTTTAAAGAAGTATTTGTTTATCTGGATACATTGTCTTCCTGAACAAAACCAGGATGCCACTGGAACTGCAGAAGGGGAATAAATGTTAGTAGGCAACTTTAGCAGCGCCTGCTACATACCTCCTCTTTCCTTCCCCAACTTAGGTACTGCCGGCTTGGGGCTCACGAACACACCCCTCAGCCCCAGCAGTCCACTTGAAACAGCCCTTCCCCAATCCCATCTCTTTCCCCCTCATTGCAGTTTCAGTTCTATGGGGCCTGTCCTCAGGTCCAGCATAGTACTGAATAGAAAACTTTTCAACTTCTTCTAAGGCACTATGTGACCAGTCCTGACTTTCTTTTCATTTTTTTTCAAGTCACAAAGTCTCTACTCAAAGGAAATACTTTTTAAAGACATCATTTTGGAGATGTGGGAGACTTGAGGGGGAGATTTTTGGGTGTAAGAGCTGGAGGACTTCCAGCATGCCTCTCATGATTAGCTGCAGGCTATTTTTGACTCTTGTTATGATTAATTAGTCAGCTCTCCTCATCCTCATACTAGTAGGTCTAACATGTAGGATTATTTAAGAGACAATATCAACAGAATCTTCTCTCTCTCTCTCTCTCTCTCTCTCTTTCTCTCTCTCTACACACACACACACACACACACACACACGCACACGGGCAACTAAACCTAAAATACAAAAATAATTAAGTCAACAATAGTTCTTTGAGAAATAGGAAGTCACTACATTGCATGTGGAAATAAAATTAATCATGTTTAAGTAGCAAAGAAAATCTTAATTTTCTTGCTTTTCCATATAGACTTACTATAATCAAAATTTCTTGTTAGTGAAAACTACTCCAGCCACTTGGAATTCCTTTACATTTGCAGCACCTGTTACCAAAATCCAAATAAAACCCTGAGGCCCCAAGCAAATCATTTAGATTCTCAGCCTCGTTTTTCCAGTCTGAATTACAGGAATAAAGCAAATAGAAGAAAAATTATCCTGACAGCTTCTCTTTTTTCCCTCCTGTCTTTTCTCACCCTTTTTCTGACCCTTGAGATTTCCTATTCTCCCCTTCTTCTCCAATCAAAATCTGCTCTCCAGCTGTGCTTTATAATTGAAGTTTTAAATCCAAATGATAAACCTGTAGTTATACTATTTTAGGCAGTAGTAAGGTGATGTGATATAGAGATTTGTCAGAGTATCTATCTACCTCTTATAGTCTAAAGACTGGAGCTGCTGTGCCAGTAGGCAGGGGGAGCTAGAATTGTTTTGGGTCTTAGGTCCCCCATGGAGACCCCTAGCCAACCATGATATAGGAATATGAAAACTCAGTTTCTTGCTTGCAGTAGAGGAAAATTTGAAGATGGGGCTTCTATTCCAGAGCCCCCTGGGAAACAGGCTGAAGCTGGGACCTGGTCTGGCTTCTTCCTCTTCCCTGTTTTGCTTCTCTCATTCCCTTTTCTCTTGGTAGCCTGTTCTGAATGAATCAGGGTCTGCTTCCTAGGAACATACCCTAAGACATTTCCCATATGCACAATTGTTCAGACATCTGATTGAGGTCCCCACAGGCTGAACTACTAATTTCCTGGTCAGTTTTGCCCTGAAATTGACTGGGCATGCATGCCTACCTCAGCCATTTACTAGCTAAGGATCCTGGAAAGGTCACTCCAATTCTCTGAGCCTTAATATTCACGTCTGTGATGAGTATGACGATCATATAAGTAGAGTGCCCATCGTCGTGCATTATTCCCAGTTGGCAGCTATTAAACAAAATTTTACCTTTTTTTTTTTTCAAAAAGGAAGCCTGAATTCTCTAAGATTATAGTGTGAGACATCAAGTATGTCACCTCTAGGTTTGATAAGCTGTGTTCTGAAGGTACACATTTATTTCTTTTCTTGGTTTCACTTGTGTATTTTTGCTGGGGGTACTTCTTCTTTTCACAGAACAGTTGCAGTAACAGATTTTGAGCCAACTGATGCACGAATGGCTTTCCCTTGCTTTGATGAACCTTCGTTCAAAGCCAACTTTTCAATCAAGATAAGAAGAGAAAGTGGACACATTGCACTATCCAACATGCCAAAGGTACTGCCACTTTCAGAAACATTGGAGAATCATTCTCCAGTTGAGCTTTGGTCTTCGTTGTGTTATTTTTAAAAATATTTCCTTTGTTTTCAGGGCTTAAGCTATTACTTTGTTTTATCTATCTACATAGTATGTAACAAACTTAATCCTTCTAGATTTTTTAACATCACTCTGGGGAATTGTCACACAAGAGGTTTTGTTTTGTTTTGTTTTTTAAAGAGATTTAGAGTTTCTTTGTGTTTATATGGAAACATTATTCTTTTAAATCAGGGGTACTTGGCCAATGATGAAATCATATAGAGCAGCACTTCTCAAACTTTAATGTTTAGATGAGTCATCTTAGGACTCTGTTAAAATTTAGGTTCTGATTCAGTCAGTCTTGGGGTGAGGCCCAAAATTCTGCCTTTTTAACAAGCTCCCAGGTGATGCTACTGCTACGAGTCCAGGGACCAAATTAGGAGGGATAAGGGCCCCCTTGGAATTTCTGATCTGGCCTTCCGTGCTGGAAAGAAGAAATCCTTTTTATTTTTTTAAGTTCCATAAGCAGTTCTTAAAATTATTTATAAAAATTATTTATTGTGGTTATATACTTTTTTTTTAATGGGAAGAGATCTTTGAACACTTTTATTTGGCTCACATTTATATTCAAAATGCGAAGACTCTGAAAGATACAGTAGACCCTGAACTTCATTTAATATTTCCTCACTAATGATGTGCTTACCATTTGTGCTGTTGAACAAAATGTAAACCATTTCTCCACTGTTGCTTGGAAAGTAGGACAAAAATAGAGTCTCTTCTGAAAGCGCTTCAGTAGGAGGAGCAGCACAGAAAGCAGCCGGGTCACAGTAAGCCGGCAAGTGGCCCTACCTGCTTTTCCTCTCTACCCTGCACAGTGACTTGCCTCCGTGGATGAAAGGGAGAAATGAGTTGATAAGCTAGACACTGAATTCCCCCAGATTTCTGTTTAATGTTAGAAACAATATTTGCTCTGAAACACTGGCAGAGCAGATCAAGGGGGAAAGTGACAACATTCTATGTGACACATATCCCATAGTTTTTCCAATACCGTAAAGATAGCAATTTAATTGTCCCTCTCATTTTTAGGTAAAAACGATCTGCTACCTTAACTCAAAGTCTTCTCTTCAATAGCATGTTCATTTCAGAGTAGTTCAGTCCCTTTCCTGGCAGCTCTTTATTAATAGATTTGTTCATATGAATAATCATGGAGGGTAAAGTGAAAATACAGTTCATAAAGCCTTTTAATTAAAATGAGATGCAAACATAAATTGACATTTTGTTATATTAGAATTTAAATTTCTATCTTTAGAAACCTCCAATACTTCTCATATTTAGAAAAAATAAGTGAACACTTTGCAAATACTTTATACGAACTTTGAATCTTTGCATTGCCTCAGTTGACCAGACCAGTTGTCTGGATCACACCGTTATTAGCGAATACTGGCCTAGCCGTCTGCTTCTCATTTACATACCCAGCCGGGCTTTCAAGGCTGGCCAAAAAAGGAAAACTGAACTAATGCTACAATCATGCTCTCTGGATAATAGCTGCAGCACTTAAGATGGGTTATGGACTGGTGGGGTGAAGCAACACATACTAAGTTCTCAATTTTTTAAGTTAAGAATACAAAATTAAGAGAAGTGAGGTGGCCAGCCAAGTACTAGTAGAGACAGCATATCTTTTGGGCACGTCTTTGTCCTCTTAATTCTTTAAAGGAAAATATACCTGCTGGCAACACTTGCTATGTGCAAGTAGAGTCCTGTCAATATTAAGAAAACAGTGAAATCTTTAACTAGCAACAAGTGTTTTATACTTGGACCTTATATCACCATCCTGGATGAACTTACGCTAACAACCTATACACCTCAATTTAAGGCACTGTTAGTCTACAAAGGTTGCTCCAGGTTCCTGAACAAAATTTAGCCTCCAAGGGCTTCATTTTTATCATGGGCGGTGGGGGGCGAAAGGGGGATGTAGATTAGAGGGAATGCCCATCTGTCTCCTAACCATCTCTGCCACCAGCTGTCTAGTGTCACGGACTCTCATTTCCCCATAATACTACAGCCTTGCCTCTTTTTCCCTTCACCCCTTCACACACTTGACTAAATGGTTTTGGAGTTTGGTCAGAAGACTGCAATCATAATGCCCTCTCCCCGGGCCCCACCATAACCCTCTCTTCTGCTAGGAGTATGTACCCATAGAACTGTGGTTGAATCAGGCTCATAAATAAAAAGATTATTGTTGGGCAAAATTAATTTGCTGGACAGAGGTAAAATTTACAGCCCTATATATATTGCTAACTTTCTTAGAGTATTTGGTCAGTGTTTTCTGCTTTATTGGAACTTACAAATTGATTTTTTTGATAGAAATCCATATAAATTCTATAGAATTTAATAGCAAAAATATTTGTCACCGAAATAGACTAGGCACTTTATGGTAATATTTCAAACTATTATCTCTCGCCAAAGCAAACTGAAATCTTAACCAAACACATAAAACATGCTCTAGAAACTGTAGTTAGCTCTGCCACAAGCCTGACACCTTGGAAAGGGGGGTAGACAGGGTAGGAGCAAGCTAGTCTAAGAGTTATTATCACTTTGAAGAAAGTGGTATTTTCAGGTTACCATATCTGATCCATTCAGTATTTAGGGGTGTTGTATAATGGTGGAGATCATCTCTGGGACAAGCTATCCAGAGCAAATGAAGATAAAATTCAGTAATTATTCAGTGAATTTGATAGATGCAGCTGACAAGTCTGTAGGCTTAAAATTTTTGCTTCCTCAGAACATAGGCAGAAGCTTAAATTACTAATGACCTCCTTGGCCTGACTGCTTTCATTGCTGAATCAATGAAGCAAAGATAAAAATAAGACTATGACTCAAGCTGTCACACACTGAGTGAAAGAATGAGCAATGTCTTTAGAGTCATATGGTCGCATCCACATCTTGGTCTTGCCATAGAGCTCAACGTGTGATCTTGGATAATTCAGTTACCATTTCATAGACTCTGTTTCCTCACCTGTGAAATAACACCTACCTCACATACAAATAATAAGAGGATTAAAAGATAATGCAAAGCATCTAGTACAGTTTTGCTTCTTGTTTCCTTCTGCAACAGAGGTTTATTTATTATATAACAAAGAGAAAGGAGTCATTGTCTGGTATATTTTTCCTTAGAAGTGCAGAACTTAAATTTGTGCCAATTTGGAAATTATTGCATTTCAAGAAGGTAGAAACATCTAAAATGCTTTTATGCTTTCAAGCAACAAAATAAGATTTGGCATAATTTTTAGATTCCAGAAGTAGTCCATTGTGTCTTCAAGGAAGTCTGGGAATAAAAGAAATCAAGGGAGGAGAGGCTACAGAATATTATGAGAGGCCATTGATCTCCTATAAGGACATCAAGTGTCCTTCAGAATGTCAGGCTTTCCTCTAATGTACCTGGCTTAGGTCATAGGCATTGTTGTAAAATACTCCAGTTTTCAAATACTGATTCTTTTCTTTCCTGTAGGTTAAGACAATTGAACTTGAAGGAGGCCTCTTGGAAGATCATTTTGAAACTACTGTAAAAATGAGTACATACCTTGTAGCCTACATAGTTTGTGATTTCAAGTTTGTGAGTGGGACAACCTCATCAGGGATTAAGGTGAGACTGAGATCTAATTTTGTACATAGCCCAGGATAGCGTCCAGAGGACAATGAGCTTTTCTTTATTTTCTTAAGCTTTTTTCCTTATTATCAAAGTATCATGCTTATTTGTAAAATAAGCATGATACTTTGTAATCCTATTACCAAGAAATAATTACACATAATATTAATATTTATCTTCTAAATATTTTTCTATGCATGTCAGTATGACAGTATTTAAAGAAATGGTATATACTGTATATATATACTTTTTACAAAATAATATATGACTATTTTAACTTAATTTTTACCATAATATGTAATAAAAATCAAATGTCACTAAATATTTTCCTATAATACTATATTAATAATTGTATAACACTATGCTGCATGGAGGTACCATAAGGATTTTTTAATGAGCACCTTATTTTTAGATTTTCACATTGTTTCCAGTTGTTTCCTATAACTTTTTTCCTCAGTGAAAAAAGGTATTCATAATTTCTAGAGTCTCTGTTATTTGAAAAAATTTATAATACCCAGTAATTGTTTTATAAATTTTTGCAAACCGATCAGTAGAGATATTAAAAATAAAAGTAAAAAAAGAACTCCTTACCTTGAGGAACCAAATGATCAACATAAAAGCATAGTCAAAGAACTATAAAATAATGCTTATGAAATATAGCTATAAAATGATTACAGTTTATATACATATTATACCTACAGATATGTAGAGATATATTATGAGCAATGTATTTATTTACATATGTGGCATCTCTGCACATAGGTTTATATGTGCATAGATATAAATGTGTGTAAGAGGTCAGATGGCACTTCACTTCAGAGGACAGGTTGCTGTCAGCTTCCTTGGATTCACATCCCAGCTCTACAGTATTTTATATGGGTGCCTTGGATGAAGTTACTTAATCTCCATGAAGATAATAGCAGCTACTTCATAAGGTTGTGGAATGAATTAAATTAGAGTTTACGTGTATGCATTTAGTATGGTGCCTGGTAAGCCACCAAAACACGGTGGCCATTAACATATCTTTCCTATACAAGTTCTAAATGACATCAGTTAATTCAGAACATACAAGCAGATCACAAGAGGCAAGTAGCACTAAACTTTAAACCCAAGAAAACCAGAATCGAACTTTATTCTTTCCATTTAATGGCTAGTCACTTTGGAGGAAGTCAGTGAACATATTTGGGCATTTTTGAGTAATTATTTAAAGTAAGCTAGATGGGGAAAGGGATGGATCCAGTAAGTTCTTGAAGACGTCCTTACCTCATAAAACTATGTTTTATTTGAATTGTGCTAGTAGTCATAATTTTGGAAAGCTAGTTCTCAAGTGTTGGAGTATATGATAGTGATGAGTTCAAGTAGACTCTCATAATATAATGGGCAATATAGTTTGAAATTTACAGATTAGCACCTAGAGAATGAATTGTAACAGAAGATGCAGGATCGTTTATAATTCTCAAGACTGACGTTTGCTTTAATATTTTACGGAATTTCTTGAAAAATGCAGTCTGCCTTTCTTTGGGTAAGTGTTGTTAGGAATGGAGTTGTGCCAAGGAGCTATCATTCAAAAACCACTTCTGATCAACATTTCCAGGTGTCCATCTATGCATCCCCAGACAAGTGGAGTCAAACCCATTACGCTTTGGAAGCATCGTTGAAGCTACTTGATTTTTATGAAAATTACTTTGATATCAACTATCCACTCCCAAAACTGGGTAGGTTAAAACTCCACATCATTGTCTATATGTGATTGAAATGAGCACAGAAGTTCACTTAGCCGCAGAAGCAATAATTTGTACCTCTGAGTTTTTCCTGGAGTGTAGAAAATAAAGAATTATGAGAAGACATAATAGATCATTTCTCTATTATCATGTTTAATGTTAAAATAGCTGCATTGCATATTAGATTTGCTTGAATGAATTTTCTAGAGCATAATTTTTTCTATACCATATTTGTTTATACCAGCAATCTTTATAAAAGTTGCTAAAGCTTTACATAAACAGCTGAAACTGTCCCTTCATCTGTTATCCATAGTGCAATTGAGGTTGGAAGAAAGATTATGGCACAGATTTTAAAAAAAATATTTAGAGGAAATAGATAATTTGAAATGGTAGCAGTAGATCTTTATTTAAGAAAATACACATAGTCTCTCTTGGTTTTAATTTTCTATCTTAAATATTAAAAGTTGTGATTTTTATAATATTGCAGAACACATAAGAACTATGACTTAATTTTATAACTCATATAGATTACTTTAGAGCTTCTGACAGTGACAAAACATTTATTTTCCTTTGGGATGTTAGGAAATACTCCTTATTATATCCTTCGTCTCTTTTTCCACCCCCAAACTCCATGTGAATTTTTTAAAGAGAAGGTAAAATGGCCATCAAAAGACATCTCCAGGTGCTTATTCCTATAGTGCCTGAGTCTCACTGTATTATTAGAATGCTAATTCTATATACCCGTTAGCACAGATCTACTAAATTCAGTTTACCCATAATCCACTGCTGTCCTACGTCAAAAGTCGAGGAAAGATCAAATAACAGCCATCGATAATTTCATGTTGTTCTTGAAAAATGCGGCCTTGAAGATTAGATGAAATGTATTTCAAAACTAACTGAAAAGAAGCATGCAGCTTAAGAATAGAGCAGATATAAGCATCTCTAATGGCTATGGGAAATAATCCATAGCATAATCATGGGAAATAATCCAAAACATAAAATCGTCACAAAAGATGTCTTTTGATGGCCATTTTACCTTCTCTTTAAAAAATTCACATGGAGTTTGGGGGTGGAAAAAGAGACGAAGGATATAATAAGGAGTATTTCCTAACATCCCAAAGGAAAATAAATGTTTTGTCACTGTCAGAAGCTCTAAAGTAATCTATATGAGTTATAAAATTAAGTCATAGTTCTTATGTGTTCTGCAATATTATAATAGTATTTAGAAAAGGAGTGACGATCAAAATTAAATCGTATTTAGAAAAGGAGTCATTCCCACATTTGAAATGCTAATGAATATTATGTATTTAGAAAAAGAGTCATTCCCACATTTGAAATGCTAATGAATATTAATATTTATTGGTGCCAATTTAGTATTTTATTTTGTTATAAATGTTTGCTTTTACACACTGGAGTTAACTAGTATTAGTTAGTTAATTAGGCAATGCAATTACAAACCAAGTGACTTGGTTTATTTCAAACTTAAAAAAAAAATTACCTTTTCTTTCAGTTGAACAGTACTTCTTCCAAAATGTCCTGGCAGAATAAAAGAAAAAATTCCGAGATTAAATATTAGCCAGAAATTTTTTAACCTATGTGAAGTCATTGGCAAAGGATGTACATGGATATAATATAAATTAATATTTATTATACCTGAGTTCTGTAAAGATAATTAAGTTTTACTTTACTCATCTAAGACTTTGTTAAGAGGTAGAGGAAATATCAGTCTTGTTCTCCTGAAACTGAAATCCTGTATCTTTCTCTTTTTGAAGGAATTAGTTCATTTTGCTTTGATGGATCTCAAACATAATTATTCAATACTTTTTATTTTCAAACTTTTCAGTATAATAATATAAAATACAATATTAGTGTTTTTAAATGAATTATTTTCTTAGCCGTAATACACCCATGGTATTTTCAGAATCTAATAACTTAAAAAAAAAAAGATCGAATATCAAAAGGTTACTTTAGCTACAATCAAAACTGTATAGATAAAATTTATCATACTTGATATGGGTGCTGATTATTTTTACTGCAACTGCAAGACACCATGTCAATGTTAAGATATTCTTGATGTTTTCAGAAAGTCTGTTTATATATACTGAAAGCATCATATGTATTTGAAGAGAAAACAAACCCCAGTTTTGGTGTAGAAGTCATAATGATAAGTGTGATTCTTCTTATTTTTTAGATCTAGTTGCCATTCCTGACTTTGAGTCTGGAGCCATGGAAAACTGGGGCCTCATCACATATAGGGAGACATCACTGCTCTTTGATCCCAAGACCTCTTCTACTTCTGATAAACTGTGGGTCACCAGAGTCATAGCCCATGAACTGGCACACCAGGTACTTGGCACTCGTGACATTCTCTTAGTATCAGTCCTAAAGAGCATTATACAGCACATTACCAATCTTCCTGAAACAACATAAAATCATATCATTTACCTCTAGAAGGGACCTTAGGGATTATCAAACCCAATATAATATGTTAAGTAGCAGAGGGCTCAAGCTGTAGACCATGGGACTCCTACAGGAATTTTATCACAAAAGAAGCAGTCATTATAGTCTCCACAACTCTTCAAAGTAAAGCCTTCAGATGTCTTTTAGTAAAGAATAGTGTGGACTGTGCATATACATAAAGCACAGAATTGGAAACCCTACAAATAGAGATTTCTACTAAAAATATTTCTCCTTATATCCCCTAGAACTGTAACATTCCAATCTAGGGCAAAATCAACCTTCCTTCAGCTGGAACCTGTGATTATGCAAGTACATAATGAAGTACTTCCAGTCTAAGTATTCACAGGCTGCTGGCCCTGGGCACTATACCTAACTCTCTCAACTTCAGAGTCCTCATCTATAAAATTAAGTTAATAGTAGCTCCTGGTTCTTGAAACTGTTTTGAGGATTACAGAGAGGTGTCTGTGCCTGTCGTATAGTAGGCTCACTAAGTATTAGTTATTAATGATGACAACAATAACCACTGCTACTGCTACCATTTCTTGCATGATAAGGTTTCCAAGTGCCATCTATCAACACTGTCTTACATGCAAATATGGAACTGTAAAACTAGCACTATAGATATCAGAGATGATTTCTACTCTATTTCCGTTCTGAAAATCCCCAGTAACAAAGTGAATTATTAAGGGTCCCAGAAATTCTCTTTCACCAGGTAGGTAAATATCATGCCATTGTAGAATCTGGTAATGTCTCTTAATTTTAATTTTTACCTTTACCATTTATCATCACCATAATAATAAATTCTGTTTTTCTTTTTTGAAACAGTGAACTAAGTACCCAATTACACAGGAGCCATGCTCAGCATTGTACTATAAGAACATATGGGCAGCCTCTTCTGGTTTATAATCTCCCCATTGGCCCATCTTAGGGGTTTTGATGATTAGTCACTGGTAGATCTAAAGTACTTAACACTGCCTGGGAATTCCTAATCTTTCTACCCAGTGTTCGTCGGGAAATTGGAGAGCTCTACCTCTGAAGCTCCGTGCTGCCTCTGAGCCTTCCTTTAATAGCCTCTCTTTCATAGAGATGTAGAGTATAGGGCTAGAGCAGCAGGCCACAGTGGTTTTTGCCTTGACTGTTTTGTCTCCATATGACCAGGTCACTCTTCTGTTAAAAACCCTGACAAAGACACCCAGTGCCAACTGGGTAGGTCAAGGGTCCATTAGCAAGGCATGTGAGGTCCCCATGATGTAGCTTCTCTCCACCTCTCCAGCCTCATCTCTTACTATCACCCTAAGATTTAGCCATCCAAGACTACCTGCCATTTCCTGAACATGCCAGGTTGTGTTGCTCCTCTATGCTTTTACTCCTACTACGTGATCTGCCTAGAGCACATCACTCACAACATACTTAAGGACCATTTGCAAGTCTTAGGAAATGAATCATTTCCTAACTAATCTACAAACTCTCCAAGCAGAACTGATTCTTTCCTCCTGGAATCCTCTCTGTCTCTTGTACAGCCATTAATCATGTCATCAATAATGCTTTCTTGCATTTATCTGTCTACTGGTTGACCTCTATCATTTGTATTGAGGCAGGAGCTGTATTATATTCATATATATTTCTAACATATGGCACAGTGCCAGGAACATAATAGGTTCTCGATAGTCACTGAATGAATGAATGAATGAATGAATGAATAAACCATTCTTGCTAACTGGAAAAGTGACCAGAACCAGCTCAGCCTGTATTTCTCATTTTTATCACTTCTCAATTTGAGGAAACAGCTTCTGTCTCTTCTCATAGATGCCCTTGGGAAGATTGATGTCCGCTTGCAAAATAATCTGAGGCTCATCAGAAAAGGAACAGAGCTCAGTTTCTAGAAGCTACAGATACAGCTATTCTGCTCTAAACTGTAACAAGGCTCTTCTGAATCTTAAGTTTCCTATCCTTCTGGAAATTGCAATCCTATAATAGATAAACTCAATGCATGGTATTGGGCACATGGGCTAAATAAATTAAATGTAAAAGTACATGAAAAAATAGTAATATTTAAAAATGGTGTTATAGAACAAATATAGGTCAAAGGTGAATTTCTATTTAGGTTATCCTTATGCATCCTTTTTATTTTGTTTATTTATATTTAAAATCTTGGACCTTTATTCACTTTAGTGACCAAGTTAATTCCTGGGAATAAATTAGGGTAGAGGTTAACAACAAAATTTGCTCATCAGTAATATTATGTAACAATCTGCAAGTCCTGAATGAATTCTTGTGATTCTCTTAAATACCTGCTACTTAATATAAAGCGATAACTTTACCAAGGATATTTCGGTTTATATTTTGCCTCAGATCACCACCATATATCAAGGATGAGCTGAGATTTTACTTATTGCACAAGAAAGAAAAGACTACCTCTACAAAATATTTTTATTTGCTTCTTCAATATTAAATCTAGTAGCTAGGAAATCTTTGGAGAATAAAATGGAAGTTGGAGAGTTGAGGGCAATAAGGACACAAAGAAAAGTGAAGCAAGAAAAATGTGGTAAGACGAGAAAGCCAGGACAGCAGCAGGAGGAAGCTGTGCAGAGAAAAGGGTAGCAAAGATAGAGGAAAGACCTTAACTAAAGGAAAGAGTTAGCATCCATTATACTTTTTACTATAATTAACAATTTTCTATTTTTTTTTTTAACTTTCAATAACATCGTGTTTTTACCTCCTAGTGGTTTGGCAACCTGGTTACAATGGAATGGTGGAACGACATTTGGCTCAATGAGGGTTTTGCAACATACATGGAACTTATCTCTGTTAATGCTACATATCCAGAGCTACAATTTGTAAGTTCACGGTTTTGTATGTCATATCATATACCCTAAGGAATCACCAATTTGCTGTTAAAATTTTTAATGAGTGTTAAAGAGAAAACAATATAGCATGGTATTTTTGAGCCTGTGGTGTTTTATTTGATGTATGAAACAGACTGCATTAGTTTGCTAGGGCTGCCATGACAAAATATCACAGACTGGCTAGCTTAAAAAAGAGAAATTTAGAGGTTTGAAATCAAAGTATTGGTAGACTTGGTTTCTTCTGAGGCTTCTCTCCTGGGCTTATAGATAGTCTTTCTCTCTCTCGCGCGCGCTCTCTCTCTCTCTCTGGGCTTACAGATAGTCTTTCTCTCTCTCTCTCTCTCTCTCTCAATCTCTCTCTCCCCATATCTTCATGTTGTCTTTCTATGATGTTTTTGTTTGTCCAAATTTCCTCTTCTTATAAGGGCACCAGCCAGATTGGATTAAAACTCACCCTAACAGCCTCATTTTAACTCAATCCCCTCTTTAAAGGCCTTATCTCCAAATACAGTCATCAGATAGTCTTTCTCTCTCTCTCTCTCTCTCTCTCAATCTCTCTCTCCCCATATCTTCATGTTGTCTTTCTATGATGTTTTTGTTTGTCCAAATTTCCTCTTCTTATAAGGGCACCAGCCAGATTGGATTAAAACTCACCCTAACAGCCTCATTTTAACTCAATCCCCTCTTTAAAGGCCTTATCTCCAAATACAGTCATATCCTGATGTGATGAGGGCTTGGGCTTCAACATATAAGTGGGGGGAGGGAGCACACAATTCAGCTCATAACAGAAATCATTCACCCAAAAATTTGTGAACAGAGAACACAAATAGCACATGTATACAGCTGTGTATTGAGAGTGAGAGGAAAGAACGTCACTGTCCCCATACAATAATGTAGGACAAGGCAACGCCCATGTCTATAGGTCCTGTGCAGAGTTTAGGCATGATTGGGGGCACAATCCTCTTGGAGTTCCAAAAGACCTATTTACTTCCCCAAGATGTGTGGAACGATTTCTTCAAACATGCTTTTTTTCACAGGCATAAGTAGGTCGGAACACCACCTAGCAAGGTGGTTAGTACAGGTTAATTAGCTCTTTGAGGTAGGCATTGGTTCAGTACAGTATAGACAGACATGGATTTAAAGTCAGCGTCATTTTATTTGCTCTGTGTTAAATCTGTGTTTTAATCTCAAAGCTTCATATAGTCTCTCTAGTAAAAGGCATGTGATGCATCTATCTCACATGCAGGGTATTGAAAAGCTGGTAGATGATGGATGTAAGGTCCTGGCATATAGCAAGTATTCACTAAATGGGAACCATTAGTTATAGTTTTGTATCCAAGGCTTGGTACATGGTAAACATTCATGCAGTGTCTAAGGCAATGTGGATTTATACTATGATGAAGGAGAGAATTGGTGAAAGGAGAATATGTAAAGAGAAAGAAACTTATAATCAATTGTAAGAAATATTGATTGAACACTTATTTCTCAGAATATTGGAAGGAGATTTGACTTTGGGTAATGAATATACAATGCAATATACAGGTGATGTATTATAGAATTGTATACTTAAAGCTATATAATTTTATTAACCAATGGCATCCTAATAAATTTAATAAAATTAAATATATATATCGTATTAAGCCTAGCATGTTTTCTATTGTTTTGAGAGTGTCAAATTGAAATTGAAAAAGTAATTCTTCTCCTCTGTTTAGGATGACTACTTTTTGAATGTGTGTTTTGAAGTAATTACCAGAGATTCATTAAATTCATCCCATCCTATCTCCAATCAAGCAGAAACTCCTACTCAGATACGGGAAATGTTTGATAAAGTTTCCTACAACAAGGTAGTAAATACTGTGGCAGTGGAAGCTCTGCTTTCAGTAGAAATATGAGGAGGTCCATAAGATCAACAAGTTTTTGCTGCCAGGTTACTGCTACCTGTTTCACTTTTTATTATATTTTATTTGCTACTTATTTTTCAGACATTATACATGTTCTATAAAATTAAGGTTTCCTGTAGAAACACATCATACTATCTTTTCTTTTAAATTTTTTCTTTTTCTTTTTTTTAGGGAGCTTGCATTTTGAATATGCTCAAGGATTTCCTGAATGGGGAGAAATTTCAGAAAGGGATTATTCACTACTTAAAGAAGTTCAGCTATAGAAATGCTAAGAATGACGATTTGTGGAGCAGTCTGTCAAATGTAAGTCGTGTGTTGGGTTACAATAGACTGTTGTTAAGCTTATAAAGTGACAAGCTAATTATGAATATTTATAAATTGTTATATTGTCAGTCAATAAATATTTATTCCATTGCCTCACTGCCAGGATCCATAGAAGGCAGCACCTTCCTTTTTCCTCTCACACCATGATAAACTAGGATGCCACACTAGGTTAGCTGTACGGGTTTGATACTTGACCTCCTCTTTAGTTTTCTTTGTATGATTAACCGTACACTTTATCCTCCATTTTCCAGAATTTGTAATAACTTTATAATTCCTAACACCTAATTACATAACACCAAATCTGCCCAAATTTTAAGGGTAAACTCTGCTTGCTCAAATTTATTTCCCAGCATGTATTCTATACTGAGTGAGACATACCTTCTCCTTCACAAGAAGAAATCCTTCCCAATCCCTGTCATCATACCTTTGCTTCTAATGATCTCACTACCTGAAATGCCCTTTCTTATTTCTAACAATTTAAATGCTATCCATCTTTTGAGATCTAGCTGAGATTTCATCTCCTCTTCACAGATTGCTTCAGCCCTTATTGGTTTGCCTTTCTGCTAAATAACTAGAAATGCATTTATGTGTCTGTTCCACACAGTGACATTTTCTTTTCTTGGTTTATATGGGTCCAATAACAATGCAATAATAACAATAATAATAATAATAATAATAATATTTGCTTAAGAGCAAGAATCATGCCTATTCTTTCTTTTTACGCCATTGAACTAGCATACTATTGATCCTATAGTCTAACTGTGATTAATAAACAGTTAATGACTGATTAAAGAACACACGGTAACTTTGTCATTGGGATTTATGTAGTATAATAGGTAAGACAAAGCAGAAAACATACAGGAAACTCAGATAAAATGATTCTAATAATTATTAAAATATTCTTGAGGGGTTGGGTAGAAGGGAGGTAGATGGGGTAAAAAGGGTCAAATATTTGGTGACAGAAAGAAATCTAACTATGGGTGGTGAAGATACAGTACAATATATATATATGTATCTTACTGTTAAATTTTATACCTGAAACTTACTGGATTTTGTTAACCAATGTCATAAATAAATAAATAAGTAAATAATAACTAACTAACTAAATAAATAAATAAGATAGAATCCCTTTATACACTAAAAAAATTCTTAAATTTTCAACTGTATGGATATTTCAAGTATAAAATCTTTTATAAAAGTATTGAGCTGGCAGAGCTTGTGCCTCCAGGCAAAAGAACCCTGTGCCATTGCAGACAGAAGACTTTCTCTTTTCTTTATAAGTACTTATGTCCCAGAGAAAGTAATAATATTGTTCAATATTTGTGTAGCACTTTACAGTTAAAAAAATTCACGTGCATTATCTCATTTGATTTTTTTTTTTGTATGCTTTTGTAAAATCTTGACCCTCATGGTCTCATTTGCATGTCACTTTGTGGTCAAAGAAACAAAGTCAAGAAACTAAAAAGTTTTTTGAGGTGGCTCATATCTTTTACTCACATTTCTTGAAAATCATAAAAGGGATCGAATTACTAAGAGTCCTTAGTAATATTTATAAAAATGCTCCTTATCCATTTCCATCACCTCCTGCAGAATATGCAGATGCTCGCTCTCTACAAGTCCTCCTACACTTCCCAACAAGGCTCACACTGCTTTTCTCTCCCTTCCCTCTCTTTTCCTCTCTCCTTTGCTATTCATGTATGATTGAGTGCGTGTGTGCGTGTGCGTGTGCGTGCGTGTGTGTGTGTGTTTAAACATCAACCTGGCCTTTTTGCAGCAAGGAAGAAACTGTCTCTGGTGTATGTAGGGGGTGTGTGTGTAGCAGGGAGGGTTAAAGGAGAAATCTGGCCAACAAGAAGAGGATTTTTTTAGGCCAACTATGAACAGTCCTATGTTAATTTTTGTCACATCATGCCAATTCTGAATTCTAAATTTGTTATTCATTCATTATATGTTACTGTGATAGTCATTGGGAATAGCTAGGTAAGCAAAAGTGTTTCCCCCACTGTCAAGGAGTTTATGATATGATAGGAGAAAGTTAATACTAGATACAGTTGCCCACAGGGGCATGAGTAACATGCACAATAAAATAATAAAGTAGGACCTTTCCCAGGGGAAAGAAAATAGATGAAAGGAAAATAAAACAAATCGATTCATCCCTAAAAGTTATTCTACCATATTGAACTTCTTTAGCAAACTTTAAATATATATATAAATATTAACTTCATCTAGACAAGATAAGGAGCATGGTAATTCATGAAGTAACTTTTATGTATTTCCTGTGTATCACTGCAAAGATGCCTTTTTTTCATTTCATGAATTGCTATGCTCATTAACACATCTAGATGAATTAAATTTTTATATAGCTATGCTAATAAATGTCTGTATTCATGTCTAATATGCACATTCAGCCAACTATCAATGCCCAAATAGCAGTACTTTTTTTCTTGTTTTATAGGGTTGTTTAGAAGGTGATTTTACATCTGGTGGATTTTGTTATTCTGATTCCAAGACGACAAGCAACACAGTAAGTATGAAGAGTCCTATAGAGTAGAAGAGATCTGGCCCATCACCTGACCCAAGTGTGTAGAGTAGCCCAGCTGTCCTTTTAAATTGCTGGAGAGGAAGAGAGACTCCACAATTTTCTTTGAAACAATGTTGACTAAAGGAGGAATGTTTGGCCATTTAGGGGGATGATGCTGCTGTTACTACTATATTTTTGTTATAATTCAGCTTTTCCACAAAGCCCGCTGCTAACTAAAAATATTTCAGTGCCAAATTCCCCTGAGTGATTACTGCTGCATTGGCATCCTCTAGGCTCTGAAAAATGTCAAACCAAATATGTTGTTAGTTTTGGAAATAAAGTAAATGGCTTTCTTCAGGCTCTGCCTTTTTGTTTACTTCTGTGAAGTTTTTTTTTAGCACTTTAGGAGAGATAAAAGAAGATCATCAAGAAAAAAAAAACAACTCTTTTTTTAAAGAGTACCAGTAATCACATAAATTATGGTTTCTAAAGGAAAATTCAGCATCATCCAGCGATCAGAAATTCATACTAGAAGCTAGGAAGCTAGAGGTTTTGTTCTTTCGAAATATCTCTATCAATACAATTTTGTTTTCTTAGAATATTTAAAGCTTCCTTCTAAAGACAGACATTTCTCTCCTCAGTCACCCTCCTGGATTTCACCATTATTAAAATGGAGAGGAATTTTTTTCTCTTTGTTTTGAAAGAGAGCAGGCTGGAGGGTCCAGCCTGCATCCACTCCTCCTCCGCCCCCTGCCCTGTTTCTGGCATCCCAGGAGATCTAAGTGTGTCACCTCCCTTTGTTTTCTCTCCTCTGCCTCGAGTTAACCACAGTCACTTGTCATTTTAGCTCACCTTTCCAGGGGAAAATGTGGAGGTCAAAGAGATGATGACTACGTGGACTCTGCAGAAAGGAATCCCCCTGGTAGTGGTTAGCCAAGAGGGGCGTTCACTCAGACTACGACAGGAGCGCTTCCTGAGCGGGGTGTTCAAAGAGGACCCTGGCTGGAGGGCCCTGCAGGAAAGGTGGCTGCTTTTCTTCTGTTGCTGTAGTTTACCTCATCTCGGTTTGCCTGTTACTGCATTAGCTTTCTTTCAGCTTCTCCGTGGGTTGCTATTTCTCTATACAGGAATCAAAGCCTAAACTAGCAAACTTTAAATATATATATAAATATTAACTTCATCTAGACAAGATAAGGAGCATGGTAATTCATGAAGTAACTTTTATGTATTTCCTGTGTATCACTGCAAAGATGCCTTTCTTTTCATTTCATGAATTGCTATGCTCATTAACACATCTAGATGAAATCTTGGTAATAGGTTTCAAGAGCTTCAGGTGATCCAGACTGCATTGCTCCACGGCTGCGTTCTTAGTAATTCTGCAGCAACCTTTAGAACCTTGGTTCTGATGCAGAGAGTGGTTGGTTCTATTTCTATTATGCTGTCCCCAGACTCTTCTCAATACTAGATTTCTAGACCCTAATAAATTGTGTAACTGGTCTATACCTAGGAAGTGTTATGACAGCTGTTCATATTATCAAAAGAGAAAAGATATTCTCTATGCGATAAATTGGATTCTAAGACCTCCTGTTGCCTTTCGTTTTTCAGTAATAGACTATAAATGTAATGTCTTAAAACGAGATGTTCTCAGTAATAATAAAAGCAAATCCAATTAACCACACTGTTGCCTTGTTCATGAGCCTATCCTGAGGAAAATTGGAGGCTTTACTGAAATCAAGAAACATAACGCTATTTACATTTCTCTGTTTTTTTAGCACTATTAATAAGATGAATTAGGTTAATTTCTTTTTTCTTTTTTCTTTTTCTTTTTTTTGAATTAGGTTAATTTCAAATGAAATAATCCAAGTGAATCTGTACTGGTTCTTATGATTATTATTTCTTTTTTCTAAGGATCTAAGTGTCTAATAACAAGTCTAGAATTTTTCTGAGAATCAGAAGCAAATTCAAGGTCTTTAACACATAAAATATACACATAGAAAGAGGATGTTTTCTCTTTTTCATCAGTTACCTATTTCCAATCGAACAGCAGCTCTCATGCCACTTCCGTAGGTGAGCTACATCTTGCCAATTTTTTGTATGTCCTGAAGCTTGAACCTCAGAGAGCTTAGACAATTTGTAGCTTGGCAACAATGCCTGGAAAATGTAACGTTTGATTCATTATTGGGAAAACAGGACTCACAGTTTTGTAACTTATCAAAATGTCATGAGAGAGTTCGATAGTGTGGGTGGCCCAGAATAATGGTGGCCCAGATCTATAACGATCTACATTTTCCTTTATTTAAGGCAGCTTTTAGAGTACTATTATAAAATGATTACTTCCTGATTCATGCCTATCCAAACTAATGAAATACTACTCACCCTTTTTTTAAATTCCCAGATATGTTTATCTGGAAAAATCTCTTTCCTTCTAAAGCCAAAATCTACCCGAGAATCTCAATCCATTAAGTTTTGGCAATATCTATTGTCTATTTTTACCTTTTTGTATAAGTATTTCAATTGCTTTGTTAATTATCTGTATTCTGTGAGTTAGCAGGTAGATGATCTTTTCTCATCCTTTACTAGATGGCGTCTGTTTACATTGTTTCTTTCATTCTTTTACATTTTTTGAGAACTAATGGGAATATCTTCCATTACTCTTCTTTCCTTTTTACACCCGTTGGTATTTTCAAGCATATGGTTTTACATGTGCAGGATTACTATAGCTAATATGGCTTGATGTGGTATAGGAAATAAATTCTAGAAGGTGCTAGGAAGTTAGAAAAAATAGCTAATTTCTGATGTTTACCATAATAGGGCCAATGAGAAGTAACTGAGGCCTTTTGCTCCAGTCCATTCTGCTTCTTTGCTCTCTGGACTGGGCTGACCTGCAAATCCTGGACTTGGCATTGTTGACCACTTACTCACAGTCATTTAACAGCTGAGCAGTTGGATGTGGGTAGCTTTGTTGAACAAAAAAAAACCATACTAGAATAAAATCTATACCTGTTAGGCTTTTTTTCCTATAGCTTTCGTTCAGTTATTTGAATTAGTATCAGGCTGTCAGAGTGTTTGGAAATGTGAAAAGAAGATTGAATTTTTTTCTCCTAAAGAAAACAGTCAACAAAAATTATTGTGATATGAGATTTAGACAACGAATGGCACAGGTAGTTATGATAGAGTTCAACTAGGTATGTATTGCTGTACCTTCATAATCATCATGGAAGAATTTTTGCATACCCAAGGATCTACTAGTCTTGGCCTATAAAATTTATAAGGCCATTGACAACATAAAGGATGGGTGATTAGGTGCCTTTTGCAATTTGTCTGAGTCTTACAATGTGAAAATGGAAATGGCCATTCATTTAACCTATCACGGTCTTTACTTTCTAACATAGGTACCTTTGGCACATCCCATTGACCTACTCCACGAGTTCCTCTAATGCGGTTCACAGACATATTCTAAAATCAAAGACAGGTAATGAACTAATTGGCTGAACAGGTGTTTCAATTCTGAAATTAAATACGTTCTTTTGTTAATAATGGTATGGAAACTAACAGTTTTGGAGATGTTTTTGGTGTGTATGTTGATAATGAAATGCTTATGCCAATTTCATTCTCTTAGATACACTGGATTTACCTGAAAAGACCAGTTGGGTAAAATTCAATGTGGACTCAAATGGATACTACATCGTTCACTATGAGGGTCATGGATGGGACCAGCTCATTACACAGCTGAATCAGAACCACACAGTTTTCAGACCTAAGGACAGAATAGGTCTGATTCATGATGCATTTCAGCTAGTAAGGTAATGTAAGCTTTCATCTGACTTCATAGGAAATAACTGATCCATAACCAGATATCCTAGATTTCAAAATCAAACATTCAGTCTTGATCATTTATATGATATGGGTCTGAATGGAGGTCAAATACTGGCCACTTGGTCAAAGCCTACTCACTGATAGAGTTATTTTGACCCATGCAGTGTTTAAAAATTTAATCCAACATTTTTAGATGTAAAGATTTTTATATAAAAATTCTGACTTCTGGAATCTCTTTAAAAACAAGAAGATTTGGCAACTGTGAGTCTTTATTCCCACAGGGCAACCATAGAGGAAGGTGCAGTGGGAAGATCCCCCTTAGGCCAGGCTTACACTCTCCCAAGCACTAAATTCTCAGACAGTACATGTGAGTGGCTTGCTTTACTCACTTAGGGTAGAACATCTAGGTAGTTAAGCTTATTACCTCAGATTTAAAATTTGTGTATACTAGTAGCTTGCTGTTTTACCAAATGCCTATGTAATCTGCTGAACGAAAAAAAATTATAAATACAGTCTTGACTTTTACAATTTTAAGTGAGTCGTTAGCCTAGTACATAATCCCTTCATTACTCTGCTCACATTGGAGAAATAAATTTGAAATTGTTAGAGATATGAAGGAAGAATTTACTTTTTATGTTTATTCCTCTTTAGACTTTCCTAGAAAGACACAGTGTTTTCTTTTCTTTCCCATTTATCATCAACAGAATAATATGTAGAATAAATCAGGTCACAAGATCACCAATGGGGGAAAAATGGTATCAGGTAGAGTATTGTGTTTCATAAGCTTTTCTATTCTGAGAATTACTGTAATGTACTCACTTTATTCAGAGTGACATATTATTTCTTTTCAGATACTTGTTTAGGTCAACTTGAGTCAAAGTAACCAGCAGAACATCTCTCAGGCAAAGCTTCTCCCTACAACTGAATTTCCTATCTAGAAAAGAGAGAGGTTTGAGTGTTTAATTCTCAGCCCCACAGGTCTCAGGCACATCATGGTATCATAGCACACTGGAAGATAGGATTAGAAAAACACCACGCTACATCTGAGTAGATGCATGATAGACTAGCTAAGAAGCAGGCCACTGTTACTTAAAGGTTTATTTGCTCAAAGAAGGAACTCGCAGATTGCAGAGAAGGTAAATTAAAAATTTAAGACTAGGAAGAATGAAGAATATTGATAACTCAGCAAATGAAAGCCAATCTTTCAAGTAGTTGCAAAGTCTTTTTTTTCTGTTTCAAGCCTATAAAATTCTGGGCAGCCTAACTAGCAGAAGGAACCCTACAGTTACTGATGCATTAATGGAAAAACGATGATCTTTTCTTCACTAGAGGGACTGGTTAATGAAGTTAATTAAGAGTATAAATTTTGGTTTAAAATAGATGAATTCGAGTACTACCTCTTCACTTATTGTTTGACCTTGGGAAAGTTATTTAACCATTTGAGCCTAAAGTTTCTAGTCTTTAAAACTTTTCCGGTCTTTAAAATTCCAGTTTTAAATAATAATGTCTATCACATAGGTTTGTTCTAGGGTTGCATAAGATAAGGCAGATAAAGCACTTAGCATAGTACCTGCTCAATAAATATCAGCAGTTAGCATTATTAGTATTATCTAATATAAATAGTTTTAAAGATGATGTGTAGGGAGAGGAAGTGATAACATAGAAAAATGCATTTCAAATAATGTAGTTAAAAAATGCATTTGAAATAATGTTTGTATATTATGTTTGCTACACAGGAAAAAAGTTAAGCATGCAAAAAAAAGGAATATTCTAAAGTGCTATTAGTGAATGTGTAGGGTACTGAGTTATGAGTATTTTCCTCCTCTTTTAATTATTTTCTAATTTGTTTATATTACTTTTATAATAAAAGTAATTGTATAATAAAACAATTTAAAACTCTCATAACCAGTCTAAATATTTTTACTTGCTAAACTCTCAGTAATGTATATATCCTCTTTCTCTGCTTTATGAAATATCTACTTAAGAGTTAAACGAGGTATTCAGTGATTACATTTAGCATGGAGACAAAATTTGACCCAGGAATGGATATTTATTTTAATTGGATTTTCATACTTACTAAATATAATTTAAGACTTTGATCTCATCTGAGTCGAGTCAAACTAAAAAGACAACTTTAATATCCTTACAGAAAAACTATTTGTTTCTTTTAGTTTCATACCTTAAAAATAAGCCCCAAATTGGTTCCATAGGAATATAGTTTTATTTCATAAAGGTACCATCAGTTAGCTTAAACTGTAAACAAAAAAGTAGATACAGATTTTTCCTGTTTGGCTGAACTGTGCTTATATATATATGTGTTTAATCTTTAAGGTAAACAATCATTCAGATAACACTTTGAATTGACTGAAGCAGTGGGCAGGTGGCGAGAAGCTGGATTTTTATTAAATAGTTAGTAACTGCATAAAAAGGAAAAGAATTCCTTTAAAATGAATATTAAGATTAAAAAATTTTAAAGTAGGCAAATATAAAAGTTTCTAATAATGACATTTGTTTTATTAACAAATAAATTAGTCTAGGCCAAAAAACAAAAACAGGATTAACATTAAGTAATTTTTATGTGTTAAAAATTCTTTTTAAAATTGTGACCATAGAATAATACCCAATTTCTTCTTGTTGTTGATCCTCTAAGGCTTTAACCACACTGTATATTATGATACTCACACATGTAAGACGGAATAGTGATATTTTGTGGATTTGTATTCTAAAAAATAAAGCAGATCATAGACTCAATACAGCATATAGTCCAACCCTCTGCCTTCAGACACAATTTTTCCGTAAGTCTGTTTAAAGCAGTATGTCATTGTGATTTAGAAAAGTCACAACAAAAGTTGGTTCTTTTAAATTTCACTTCTAGTTTCAGTTCCCTCTTTTTAGATAAGAATTACAAATTTTTAAACCCAAAGGAGGTAAGGAATTACGTTAATAAAAAATTCAGTGGGCACATCCTTTGTTCTGGAATCTGTTTCCATCTCGAACCGTTATGCTCAATCTGGGAGTCAGATGTTGGTTTACAGAACGGTTTATAGATCATGTGGGGACACAGATCCTCTCAGAAATCGCTTTACAAAAGTGACATTTACAATGGTTTATTTCCTCTAAAGAAGAGACCCAAACATTTTGGTATTCACAATAATAGTTTTGTTGTTTTTCTTATTACAAGAAAATGTAGTAAGTAGATTCTAAAAAGAAAAGATGGAAATACTTCTTTTGTCTCACTCACAATAATGACTGCTTCTCTGTTAGGCTCTAGGAGAGACATCAGAAAAAGAAAAGACCTGGCATCTGTCCTTCACTTAGAGGGAGAATTCAAAATCACAAATTAAACAATTAGAGAATGGCATAATAGATGAATATTTTTATATTATTTGGTACTTAATATTAGCTAATATTTATTTTATTTCTGAAGCTCTTGCTGTGTGATAGGCATTATTCTCAGTGATTTACATATGTTATCTTATTTAATCCTTACAATAGAAGAAGATACTATTATTCTCTCCATTGTATAGGGGGAGGCAAGTAAGGCCCGGAGAGATTAGGCAATTTGTTCAAGGTCACACAGCTAGTGAGTGGTAGAGCCAGTATTTAAACCAAATGGTCTAGCTATAATGAACTTCTATCATTGTTCTCTATATCATAGTTAACATTGAGAATATTAAAACTCTAAGATATGCACAAACCATCAACATTTGTTTTATACCTCAGTGCAAGAAGGCTGACCCTAGACAAAGCCCTCGACCTGACTCACTATCTCCAACATGAAACAAGCGTCCTTGTACTTCTCAAAGGTCTGGAGTACTTAGAATCGTTTTACTACATGATGGAGAGAAGGAATATTTCAGATGTCACTAAAAACCTCAAGGTTTGTGTTACTTTCAGAAAATTCATTAAGTAAATACAGAGTCTGGAGAATTGGTGAGATTTGATCTGTTTTGTATGGGACTCTCGGGATTAAATATTTGAGAAGCTGAGGAGACTGACTGATGGCATAGTTAACACTGCAGTACCTAATGGCTGGACACTCCTTGTTTCTTGTCATCATCACCCTAAGAGCCCCACCAGGATCATGAGCGAAACATTTCTTCTAAGGCGATTTTATCTTATATCAATCAATAGCCCCTCTCGGGAAACTAAATTATATTTTTAATGAAGAAACTAACTCTGTTTTTTAAACATGGTGAGTTGGGGCCAGAAACAGAGAAGACACATAATGATAAGTAGTTCTGTGTTTTGGAAAAGGTTCATACAGATAGTTTGGAGTTGAGCCTTTGGCTGGGTAAGTAAAGACTGTGTTAAGAACTAAATTTAGCCTCTCTGTAAACCACCTTGTGCTTTCTGCAGCATTACCTTCTCCGATATTTTAAGCCAGTGATTGACACGCAAAGCTGGAGTGACGAGGGCTCTATTTGGGACAGGATGCTCCGCTCAGCCCTCTTGAAGCTGACCTGTCACCTGAACCATGCTCCTTGTATCCAGAAGGCAACTGAATTCTTCTCTCAGTGGACGGAATCCAGCGGAAAATTAAAGTAGATCTAGACTTCTGTCCTATTCTTCATTCCTTTCACTTTAATGTAAAAGTTTTGATCATGCAGGACATTAGAGGTGAAACCTTTTAGAGAGGATAGAAAAAAAAAAATGCTGGGAATTGCATACCTTGTTTCATGCTCTTGCATAGTAAGTGCTCAATAGATTTTGTGAGAAGTGAGGTTTAAGCCCCTATAGGGGAGAGTTAAATAAACATTGACATGGTAACAGAAAGATAGCCAGGGGTGGAAGTAGAGGGTACCCATCTCCAAAAGTGGTATCTTTTAAAAATAAAAAGTGGTGTAAAATGTACGTATGATTAAAACACTAGTGCCTTTTTAAAAAATGTGTTTACTTCCTCATTAAACAATACCACAGGCAAAGCGTTGGCCCCAAGTTACAACTTTGATGGGAAACTGATGATCTGGGCCATCTAAAGGATGTACATGGTGGCAAAAGTGATTCTGTGGTTAGTATAATCAGGAAGATGCTCAGTGATCAAATGGATTATGTTGCAGTTCAGTTTAGTGGCTACAATCCACAGGCACAATCATTTCAAAGTAAGCCTTAATTTCTGTCCAACACATGATTTTATATTGTTATTGTTAAAACTCTGACTCTAGAGTTAGATGTTTTGAGAAATCAAATCTGTACGTAAGTTCAGGAACATTTATTTTTTCAAATCGAAGAAAAAAAATTAACAACTTTAGCACCATGTAAGGAAATAGTATCAAGTTTTCCTGTGCAAAATCTCTATGATATGCTGTCATAATTTCTCTCCACATAACTAAATCTCAGTGAGCTTTTTGAAATCTTTTCTTGAATTCTTCCTTTAAAAAAAGCAATTCCCGTTTTTTTTTTTTTCTTTTTGGACTTTTCTGCTCTTTGGGATTTAAGCCTAAAATCACTTCTAGAAAAAATATCTTTTAGCTCTATTTTTCTCTTCTTTTGTTCATGTTTGAATGCGTTATATGAGTAAGGCTAAAATGTAAACATCCTGCTGCTTCATAACACAATAGACTACTATTCTGTCTTTATGCTGTTTACAAGAGGGATGATCTTATGCACAACAGATATGATGGTTTGACATGTTGAATAAGATACTATGGCTGTGAAAATATTCTGGGTAAAGCTCATTTATGCTGGTAATCACAAATACATAATTAAATATTGTAGGGTGTTTTTCCTAAATTTCAGGATCATTAGTATTAATCTTAATGAAGAATTTCTTTACATAGATTAATTGATTACTTCATTCATTCATGAATTCAAAATATAATTCTTTTCATGGCGCTTATGTGCCAGGCACTGCTGTGAGTGCTAACGATAAAGCAGTGAACGAAACAACTATGTGTCCTACCTATAAGGAACTTAAAATATATTCATTACCAATTTTTATAAATTTATGCAGTAAAACACACTAAATCTAAACAATGTGGATTATAATTTAATTGCTTAATCTTTGCTTTATTATTCAAATGGAACTTGGAATATTTAAGTACATATAGTATGTGTAGTGGAAATAGCGCAAACATTGGAATCACAGGTTTAAATCCTGTCTCCAAAATGGCTACTTATATCACCTCAGAGCATGTTACTTAACCTTTCTGGGCTTTGTTTCCACTTTTTAAAAATTAGGATAGCACTTACCTCACTGGGTAGCTTTGACAGATAAAATGTATATAGACTAGTACAATCCCTACTATATGATCAATGCACAACAACTGCAACTTTCCTGCCCCATCCCCATTTTTCTGTGTTGTTTTTCCATGCCATCAATATGAATATCAGTTATTATTGATCTAACGATATTTGGGATTAAAAGGAATAGGACAAATTAGAATCGAAACTAGTTAATATCCCATAGGACAATAAAAAACAAATATTGTGGTATTTTCTTTAGGTGGACAGAAAAAAATGTTATTGCATCTGACAACTTTTACAGAATTGTAAAATGACTGAATGCTAATCAGTTGTGCTGAATTACAATTCTCTAGACCTAGAGAGTCAGATGAACTTCAGACAAGCCTGTTAGAATATACTCTTAATGTGACTTGAAAGCAGCAAGTAATCATTTTTAAAAATTATACGGCACCAATATAGGCTTTTAATGATAGAATCCTGGGTAAACCAGAGCTTTTAAATTTTAGAAATCATCTCTTTTAGTTATTAATTCCATCAACTTTCTATATTCATCTCTGAGTAGGTTAAAATTTTATGATTATTCTCCTTGCTAACATTTTATCATCAGTAGGAACAAAACACAAATAATTTACAAAGGAAAATTCCATAAAATAATTTTATAAAAGTTTGGCAGAAAAAAGGTTTAATATGCTAGGTAGTGGAAATTGGTCAGGTGTGATTCTGTTATAGCAACTTAAAATTGTAATAAAAAATAAGAGAGTTTCTTCTTTCACATAACTTTTTTCTTTCCTTTTGTGCTTAATATCACAGTCTCCCAACAGATGTTTTAAAGATTGTGTATTCCGTGGGTGCTCAGACAACAGCAGGATGGAATTACCTTTTAGAGCAATATGAGCTGTCAATGTCAGGTGCTGAGAAAAACAAAATTCTGTATGCATTGTCAACGAGCAAACATCAGGAAAAGTTAATGAAGTGAGTGCATTAATTTAATTGTTAAAAGTAAACTGACACAAAGTCAGTGAAATCACTAAAATTTTAGCCACCAATTACAAAGGCATATAATTGAATCAGAATTTGAATTGCATCTACTCTACTGCCAAAAAATACATATGTCGGCAAAATACACATAGTGAAAACAGATATTTCTTAGTTCTTAATCATGCGATTGATAGTAAACAAGTGGCTAAGCTTCATTTTTCAGAAGCTTGGAGGAAAATTATTGTAAAAATACATTCTCGTGTATAAGAGGCTGTGTAATCTTATCAGAGTTCTTTAAAATAATAAGTGAATAAAATTACTGCTAAAAAAAGGTAAAAGTTTAACTAGAACATTCAAAATGTTAGCCAGGAGAGAATTTATTACTGTTTTTGGTAAATTATACTTTTATCATGCCTCTTCCTCTTCTACTCTTTTAATATATTGGTAGCCTGAGTTACTTTCATTATATAACACATGCCATGAAAAATCATGTGGTTTTTATTTCTTCAGATTAATTGAACTAGGAATGGAAGGAAAGGTTATCAAGACACAGGACTTGGCAGCCCTTCTTCATGCAATTGCCAGAAATCCACAGGGGCAGCAACTGGCCTGGAATTTTGTAAGAGAAAACTGGACCCACCTCCTTAAAAAGTTGGTATTCACTTATGTCCAATGTGTGTTCTTCCACCCAGCTGTCTCAGTTGCCTAAAACCAGTCGTAATCAAGTGTCCCCCAAAGCGTATAAATACCATTTCACCCAAATGTTGCAACAAAGTCTGTCGATTTTAAAACTCATTAGCACAAGTTACTCTGTCTAAGTGTAAGGGAGAGGAATGAGAAGAAGAGGATGGGAAGCAGAATTCTCATTCAGCCCAGGAAAAGAGTTGCTGGAAGCAAGTACTAGTTGAGTTAAATCCAGTCATCAGTTCCATCCCCCTCACTTCTGGCTCTCTCACAAGCCCAGGGGAATTCAACGAACCCACATATACTGATCAGACATATTTGGCTTGCTTTATTAATGCAGTTTTGTTCTGGGGAGGAAACTTTAGGAACTTTGATGAGAGCTAATTCCCACCCCCAGTTATCCTGTGGAGATGGCATAGTGGGGTGCTTAGAGCAGCTGAAGGAATTCCTATCAGAAGTGTTTTGGGAGCTCTTCTCCAGAACTGGATTGGTTCTGAGTCTGTTGTGAAGTTTCAACTTTTGGAAAAACTGGAGCTCATGCTAGTACACTCCTGGGCCTAAAATTTCCTCAGAAAGAACCGATAAAAATTAGATTTCATTGGAATGTACAGGATGGCATTGCTTTCTCTCCCTGTTAAGATGCTCAGTAATTCCCTCAACTAAATCTAAAATGTCACTTATGAACTACTACTATATGGAAAATAACCTGAATGAGAGAACTGTGCAGTTTACTGTTTAATGTCAGTTAGCATCTCTGATGTCAGTCATCCACAGTTCCTCCTTTCTTTAATTTCTTAGCCATAAAGAACTCAAAGTCCTCACAGACAGCTTTGTGTAATCAAAAAGGACCAAGACTTTCAAGGGGTTGGCTCCCACATGAGATCTAACAATGCGAAACTGCTGCTTTTTTTTTAAAATGTGTTTCCTTAAAGACCCTACTGAAACCATTGGTTTGATTGTTTGCTTGACTGTTAGTTCGCTTCTTAAATGATCAGACTTTTTCTGCAATGCTTTAGATTTCCCTTGTAACTGGAAATTATCCTCCTACCTGACCATGTGCATAGCCTAGACTTGGAACCATTTCTTAGATGTATCTGTGTTCTGCTTTTCAATATGAATCCCTCTGACCTATGGCACAAAGTCTCTATTATAAGACTCTGAGGTGAAGAATGCAGTCTGTGGCTGTGAATGAGAGTTTAACCAAGTAACATGGCCCTATAAATACAATGCTTAAACACAGTGGGATGGAGAAGTGTGTGACAATACATTCGAGTATGAAAAGAAAACATTATCACCTATATTATTTCTTGTGTTATGCTATTTAAATTTTCTTTTTTACCTATAATATAATACATATATAATTTATAAATAAAAATGTATTTGGGGAAGTTATTGATCAAAATATCTTACTAGTGGGGTACATAATCAAACAAATGTGGAGAATACTGCTTTAAACATAAACATAGATTTAAATATAAACATTGCTGAATAAAGTAGTCATATTTCCTAAAAGAGCTTTATCTACTTTTTTATCTTATGGTCAAATTTCATCAGTTTCATAGCTTTGAGATTTTACTAGATGAATATGAGTTATTTTATGGTAATTAATACTATCTATTATAATGCACAAGCTTATCATATAATTAATGTTACATATTTTTAAAATATATGATATAATAAAAACATAAGGCCAGTCTTCTTATTTTTAAATCTTTTTCATTTTCAGATTTGACTTGGACTCATTTGCCATGAGAATCATCATTTCTGGCACAACATCTCATTTTTCTTCCAAGGATGAGTTACAAGAGGTTTGTGACTCTCTAGTGATAACAATTAGAGAATAAATGTTCAAGCGGCAGAATCGAAAGAGAAATAGATGTGATCTCGTTTGAAGTTTTCATTTTATTAAAAGAAAATAAATTGTTTGTCCAATGTCACATAGCAAGTAAACAGAAGGCAAAGGACTAGACTATTCTTAAAATACATGTTCATAGCATTCAAAATGAAAATTACCCTTGAGAGATGGTCCTTTTGTGTTATTTTGTTCATATTGTAGCATCATGAGTTATGCTGAAGTTCAGTTCATAAAGGTTTTTAACAAAATTACTGTTATTGGTAATTCTACTTGCTTTTTTAAGGCATTCTAGATGTTTTCATCTTCTTTGATTTTACCCTTTAAACAAATTCAATTCTAAAACTCAAATCTGGCTCACTACTTACTCTATGACTGGGCTTAACCACAAATTCTTTACCCATAGTGTGCTCACTTTGTAAGATAAAGATTTATTATTCCTGTCTTACTTTATTTATTATTTGAAGATAAAGTAATAATTATGCAAAAAAAAATAGAGGAGAAGAAGAAAATAACCTTTTAGAGGTTGGCAGAGAAATGCTTGCACCTGTGTTTGTATAATTTGCAAGCTGTTTTGGAACCCTTTAGAAGAGAAACTGTTTTATGAACCACATCAGTAATTCTTTTCTTGATTGTTTTTCAGGTGAAACTGTTCTTTGAATCTCTTAAGGCCCAAGGATCACATTTAGATATTTTTCAAATTGTTCTGGAAACCATAACCAAAAATATTAAATGGATGGAGAAGAATCTTCCCACACTGAGGACTTGGCTACAGGTTAAGATTTAAATGGTCAGTAGAAAGAGCACATCAGATGTGGGCTACCACTGCATGAAATTGGCAAAGCTCAAGTCAGCCTTACAGATATTTTGTCTAACCAGTAAGAAGCCTCAAGAAATCATCCAGTGCAGCTGCCTGCTCTAAGCTGTGGTCTCTAGTTGACCTATGTGTGATGCTGGGAGTGGGGTAAGGCCAGTTAGGGATCCTATTTAAAAGTAAACTTTCTGAATAATGGGGATATGTGGAGATACAGATGTAGACATAGAGATGTAGCTATAGTCGTTTAGCCACAACACAGACTATCTGCATTGTCTCACATTATGCCATTCCTTTGTTATGTTGCTGCTTTTTAACCTTGCTTAGTATCTTGGTGTTTGCCCATCCAGTTTTACCTCCAAGGAAACACAGCCAATTCATTAAAAAAAAAAAAAAAAAAGCCTTCATTTGCATTCTGCCATCTTCTCACTCTCCCTCCTTCTTCAGCTCAGCCTGAATAGTTTAATTATTACCATTCATAGAAAATCTGAATTAAATATGAAGCATAAGAATTAGGAAAACAGGCACTTTGTCACCAAATCTCAGATTATTAAAAACTATATGTCAGGGTTTATCAAGGAGACCAGGAGGGCCTCTTGGCATGAGACTCATATTCATGAAGAGCCTCAAAGATAGCCTTTTGAGGTCATCTCCAAATGAAGTAAAATCTGCAGTTACGGAGGTACAGGAAATGTATTGTGCTTATTAGTGTGGTATTTCAAAAGCTTTATGGTGGATGCCACACTTTAATCCACACACTGCTGCATTTTTAATAAATCTTTTGAGAGTTGCAAAATTAGATTATATTGGGATATTTTGGGTTACATCAGGGTTTAATATAAATATTTTAATGTATTACATTTTGTTACCCAGTTTTAGCATTTCTTCATACTTTAAGAGAAAAGGGGGTGTTAATATACTTTCTTCTTGATCTCTGAAATGCTTTTTTTGATGCTTCTCTTAATTGTTTGAATGAAATATTTGGAATAAAGAAAACACACATTTAAATACAGGTAGTAAATTTAATAAATTCATAACCCCACATATGAATCAGTATGAAAGTGTAATTAAGTTCTAGATAGATTTGAATCAATACACAAATGACTGATTTATCTGGTAGTTAAGGGAAGGTGGGGATGTCGGAGCAGGGGTGACGTGAGGACGTTATCCATCCCTTTTGGAGAGATATCATGAAGGTCTATAGACCTTTCTCAGTCAGAGACAGAATATGGTTTGGATGAATATTGGCCATGGCCCAACATACATTTTGTTAAGTTTGTTTTCAGATCACTTCTTGGAATCTTTGAAGCATCTTTGGCTTTAGATTTGATCTGGTCAGGGTTCTATCAAAGTTTGTATAACTACTTAGTGATATCACTCTATAATTATACATACTGTAGCATAAGAAAACTGAAAAAGAATACTTTTTTCCCACCAAGATAATATGTAAATTAAGTAGTAAAATGTGTGTGTTTCGACAGAACTGTAACATCAATATTTTCCTAAATAAATAAAGTTTTCTTTTGTGCAGTACCTTATCTACCAAAAAGTTCCAAGTTTTTAATTCTCTTCCTTTTAGTTCCTTATTTAAATGCGTTTGTACTTTTTTGGATTCTTAAAAATTGAATACAGAAAGAAGCAATTTTATTATTTAATAAAAATGAACATGAAAATTAATGTACCAATAATGTTTTAGGAAATGCAGTTTAAAAAAAGAAACATGAGGTATTTCAAAAGCTTTACAGTGGATGCCAGACCCCCAGCACTAAGACTTGACTAAAGTTAGTTTTACTTTCTTTTACTCCAAATGAACAAATAAGTTGCAAAAAAGTTAAATACATGATCATGAATAGATGATGGAGTGAGCAGACACAACTTCTCTGGGCCTCCCTGATTCCTCAGAGAGCCCCTGGGAGAATTTTGTGGTTTCCATAGTCCTCTCAGAATGAGAAACTTTTCATATTAGGGAGGCCTAGAACTAGTAGCTTGCTCCTTTTTAGGCTTTGTGTGGGGGAGCTTATCACCATGACAGGAATTTGTCCTGCCTCATGTACATGCTTCTGCATTTTATTCCTTGCTGTGTCATTGGGTCCATTTGAGGTTGCAGAGAACCAAGCCTGATGAGGAACTACTACAAGAAATCCTGATTTTCTGGGGCAAGTTCTTGGGGTTTTTTGTTTTGCTTTGTTTTGTTTTGTGTTTAGAGTTGGAGAGGGATTTATCAAACTGCAAGAGGGACCTCCAAATAGTCATAGGAGCTAGTTTTCTGCTTGAACGTTAATGTCTACCAAATGCAAAGTTGCTTAAAACGGCTCCGTTTTTTATTCTGTAACACTCCTTTACCTATATTCATTATTGACCTTCTTTCTTCCATTTGACAATGTGTCACTATTTTTCATTTTAATACATAATGGTTTATAACTTTTACATTTACAGACTTTAGATCAATCATCTATTATATTGTCTGCTTCCTGAAACCTTAATTTCATCAAAGTCATATCTCCAAATCATAAAGAAGAAAAAGATGAAAGAGATTATGAAAGAAGTAGGTTTGCTGGGCTAAAGCATATGTGTATTATATATAATCCAACATTTTAATCGATAATGCCAGATTATTTTTATGAAAGGGGGTGTTAATATACTTTCTTCTTAGCTCTATATCCTGTACTTGTCAGTATCAAATGTTAATCTCTTATACCTAGTAATATATTCCATGGTAAAGTGCAGTTTCCTCGGATATTTACTTAGCTATGCCACTAGTTTATTTTGATGAGTATCTATTGATAAATTTTTGTATCCTGTTACTTTGAATTTTTCTGTTTGCTTTAGTTTCAGATGAATCTTTTGTAGACAGACTATACCTGAATTTTGTTTCTTATTATGTTCCCCAACTTGGGCCGGCCCAGGCTTTGTCATCTGATGCTCTCCAGTCTCAAGGGCATAAAAACTGAAGCTTCTGATACCCTCAACATGAACGCAGACTTCGGCCTTCTGCTTACTCTTCAGGGTTCCTGAGTTCACTTCATTTTTGACCCATGAGTGATCCTTACTAACTTTCCAGGACATCGATGCATTAATACCATTTTAAAATACACTTTATTCTACATTTTTAGTTATTTTTAGTAAGAAGGTCAGTCAGGGTACCTAGTCTAGCATATTTCAGAAGCCACAATAATTTATTTCCCAGTATGCAAATGCCTGACACTTCTACATATGAGGCTCCTTAGCATGGTAATTGGTTTGCAGTATCAATCATGTAGTATTGATTTCTCACAAATAAGGTTATGGAATGCCTAAGACTGTACCATACTTAGGAAATTAGCAGTATAAACTGATCATTTGTTCAGAACTTAAATCAGGAAAATTTTTCAATATTCTTAGGGAGATATGGTTGGAAGATCTGAGAAATGCAGACTTAACTAACAAAATGAAAAACGTTTATGTCTCAATCACTTCTACAACCTTTGCTTTGCAGCTGTAACTTTAAGATCTTTTGCTAATGTGTTCTCTTTTCCCCCAAAGTCTTTATCTTCTACCATACTCCCAGATAAGTTTAGGAAACCAGTTTTCTATTTTAATACATGACTCAACAATTCTCACCTTCAGGTATTTTCACATTATTTCCCACATTTTGAAGTTCATGTGTCTGACCCTCTGCTGAATTGTGCCATATTTCTTACTTTTAATACAACATTTCAAGTTCATACCTCTGTAAGGAATTCCCATGTTAATACCATCTGCCATGCCCCTCTGGTCATCTAAAGAAAACCTCAGTTATAATTATAAACTTCATTTTTAAAGTAGGCAGAGTAAATTGTCTCAGACTTAAAACATACAAAGGACATTATTTCTCAGTTTTAAAACCCTATTCCCCTTTAAAAATCGTTTTCTAGTAAACTGAGTTTGAAAATTCTAACTCATCTAATGTTTTAAATAAGAGTTGGAAAAAGGGTAAATAAAACATTCTAAAAACTCAAATATGGAAAGAAGTATGGCAGGGGTACTTTATCTAAAAGAGAAATAAGTTGTTTCCATGGCATAAGGCTTTGGCACAAAACTTTATTCTCTTTCTATTTATACCTCCAGATATAGACCCAAAGACAAAAAGTAGAAATCATAGAAGGACAAACAGAACTTTTCAGCTTGTAAGGGGTAAACAGGTGGAGACTAAGAAATAAGGATCAAGGAAAAGTTCTAGTCTGAAACAGCTATGCGCAATCTATGTGAACCCGATAGAACCCATAGGAATAATACCCTATGTCCTGGGTGAGTTAATTCAACTCACATTTAGGGACTGGATTAGGGTCAATTAAGAAGTTATTGGTTAATGAGAGAGGCTGGATAACATTGAAAGGTTTGTATTTGTTTGTCCTTGTAGTAAATTGTGCCTTTTCTATAGTTAACAGTTAAGACATTACTGATCAAAGCACCGTTTTAAAAATAATGTTCTATATTCCAGAAAAGCCATTACCAAATAGGAAAAGCATATTATTCTTCTAGTTTCAGAAAACTGTTTCTTTGGGAAGCCTAGCAGTTTGTATTTTGGGATCAAGGGAATATACCAACTGTCAGCTCCTCTGTCTCACTTGAGGACCTAGAAAGAAATAACACCTTCATTTCTGGCCTTGCAAATCCAAATCTAAAAAGTGCTGTCTAAAAAAGGAAACATCGTAGATTTTTTCCCAAAATACATCTCCTCTTATCCAGTTGTCTTTTCTTCTATAATTCTACCATTACAGATTTATTCCTTTGGGCTGAAAAAGTTAAAATATTAAATTGTAGCTCATTAGTCATGCTTTAGTATGACTGTGTTTTTAAATTAATAGTTATTTCTTTACAGTTAGCTGATAAAAGGACCCTAAGGAGAGAGAGAGGATTGAGGAGTAGGACGTGGGGGAGGGGAGTTGATTCTGGAATGAGAGTAATACCCCAGGAAGTACTGGTTGGGTAGGAAGCTCTGGAGGGCAGTCAGTATCTGTCACTTTCAAGGGTGTTACATACAGATGGCATTTGATAAATATTTGTTGACTATTTAAAGCAGCACCTAGAAATAAGGAAGGAAAATAAAAAGAAATGAGACCTAAGAGAACTAAGAGACAAGCCTACTTGACAGTTTTGTCTCAGGCTGGTCCTGCTAATATATGGTTATATGCTTCTGTGACATGTATTATGCATTATAGATATATCCTTTGTGCTTGTCCTGAGTGTCCCAATGTATTGTAAGTGCATAACTTACAGCTCCTGTTTTGTTTTTTGTTCTCTTTGGTGCTCTGCACGCCATGGGCATATCACAAACGTTGCTAACTGATTGACGGCCTGTGCTGGCAGCTATCAGCCAGAGGGAGGAAAAAAAGCATCTGAGTCAGCCCAGAATCACAGTCAAGTGTAATTTTCTGCATAAATATTACAGGAACTTCTCATGCTCAAAAACAAACAAAAACGTGAAGGACACATTTTACAGGAATGAACCGCAGACAGGCTCTATTTCAGCATAGCTCTAAGAAATAAAGAGAAATGAAAACCGAATCATTATCTTCAAGATTGTAAACATCTCCCTAGAAAGAGCAAGTCAATCAAAAATTCCAGCTAGATATTATTTCTAAAACCATCTTTTAAATCTTCTAACTTTGTAAGAGAGAGCCTATGACTGGTTTTCATGGCTGGAGCAGGCCCACCATCCCTGCCACTTTCTGACCCAGCTAGGCCCCATCGGACCCAGGGTATAGATATCGACTCAATACCAAAAATTTGGTTTCCTCAGGACGTCATTATTTTAAATTATCAGGTTGGAATATGTCAGCATTATAAACACTTCTTTTCTCTAGTATTGTACTTTGTGAATTTAAATTTTTTTTACACGTAATCTACACAGTATTAAACTTGCACAATTCGCATTTAATAGTAATAAAATATTCATCTTTAGTGCTTACTTTGTGCTATTCTCTGTTGAAAGCATTTCTGGTGTATTAATTCATCTTGCCCTCACAATAACTCTAAGAGGGAGGTACTTGTCCTCAGTTGATAAAAGAGAAAACTTGTCCCATTCACAGAGGCAATAGTTTTTAGTACATTCACAGAGTTGTGCACCTATCCATGTGCTCAATTTTAGAACATTTCATTACCCTAACCCTGTACTCACTAGCAGTCACTTTCTAGTCCTCCTTCCCCTTGGTCTTTCGGTCTGAGGCAACCACTTTCCGTCTCTATAGATTTGCCTAGTCTGGACATTTCATATTAATAGAGTAATGCAAAAATATGGTCTTCCATAACTGGCTTCTTTAATGGATAATTGTGTTGTTTATGCTATTTAATGCTGTTATAAACATTCACATACACGTTTTTGTGTGAACATAAACTTTTAATTCTTTCGGGAATATACTAGGAGTGGAATTGCCAGATCCTATGGCAATTCTATGTTTAGCCTTTGGAGGAACTGTCAGACTGTTTTCCAGCACAGTTACACCATTTCATATCCCCACCAGCAGTAATATAAATGTTCCGATTTCTCTACATCTTTGACAATATTTCTTATTACATGGCTTTTTTACTCTAGCCATCTTAGGCCTGTACCTAGCCATACCGTGAAGTGGTATCTCATGGTTTTAATTTGCATCTCCTTCATGGCTAATGATATTGAACATCCTTTCATGTGTTTATTTGTATATCTTGTTTGGAGAAATGTCTTTTTTTGCCCATTTTAACTAGATCATTAGTCTATTATTATTGAGTTGTATGAGTTCTTTATAAAGTCTAGATATAAATCCCTTGTGAGGTAAATAATTTGCAAATACTTTCTCCCATTCTGTGGATTGGTTTTTCACTTCTTAATGTATCCATGGATATCAATCTTTCTTGATACTTATCTTCAAACTTATTTATGTTAGGAAGATGCTGTCATGATGAGTCGAATTGTGTCCACCCAAAATTCATGTGTTGAAGTTGTGACCTCCAGTACCTAAGAATGGGACTTTTCTTGGAAATAGGGTTTTTGCAGATGTGATTAGTTAAGACCTCATTGAAGTAGGGTGGACCCCAACCCAGTATGACTAGTGTTCTTATTAGAAGGGGAAATATGAATACAGACATGCGCACAGGGAGAATGCCATGTGAAGATTGGCATTATGCTAACACAAACCCAGGAAATAGTAGAAGCTAGGAGAAATTCCAGGCACATATCTTTCCTTGGTGCCTTCAGAGGGAAGGTGCTGCGGACACCTTGATCTTGGGCTTCTAGCCTTTAGAACTATGAGACAATAAATTTCTGTTGTTTAAGCCACTCAGGGTGTATTAGTTTTTTACAGCAGTCCTAGAAAACTATATAACTACCTAAGATTTAATTTTTCCACTTTAGTAATTACTTTCAGTTCAAAGTTCGAGGTTTAATAATATACCATTTCTTGGTTTATATTCCTAGTTACATCTATCAGTTATATGAAAAATTACATTGAATTGGGCTTTATTTTAATTTTTCCTGTACAGTATCTTAGGGTTTAAAAATATTATCGAAATGTTATTAAAATGTATCAGTGTTTATAACCTTTAGTGGACATGTAGGTTGCCTACCTGCCATTTGGGTTGCCTAACTCAAATTTTTCCTTCTGAATAAGAAAAATGATTTTATCCAAGGCTCCCTTCCTCCCCATATGAAAGAAGGGAAGCAACCCTAAACTCAGCATTCATAAACTCTGCTTTGTCTAAGAAACTGATCATGGTAACCCTGTTTTCATTTCCAGTGATTTGCATAGAAACGTATAAAATACAGCTTCAGCAAATAAAACCTAAGGAGAATTCTAATGGAGGATTTCTGAGAAAAGTTTCCTTGCTCTTAAGAAAGAGACACCAGAGAAAACCTTCTTTCTTCCTCCCTTGATGCAGCCTTGTTGACCACAGGGAATACAGTTTTTCAGAAAATTGTTCAGAGTGGGCAGAATGAGAAGTTGAGTTCTTGATGAGATTGGGGAGCTGTGACTGGAGACTGCATCTTTGGACTTGTTATGAGATGTTGGATTTCCTTATTGTTTAAACTAGTTTATCAGCATTTTGCTTTTGTATTTCAAAGCATCTTAACTCATATATAACTGTTCTTTTCTGATAATCTTTCACTTTATTTGGCTGAATCTTTTTGCTAATGTCTAACTGTACAAGAACTCTGTTGGGTAATTATTCTGCTTTTCTTAGTGCTCTAAACATTGCTTAATTTGGTATAACTTCAAAAGTCACTAATTGCTGCCAATTAGTGACGAGATGTTGACTCCTCCAATCTTGGGGTGACTGAGAAGAGTTTGGAGTAGCTGGAAACCTCATGGTGGTCACATTTGTCCTGGCAGTAAGTAGCATCCTCAATTTATTCAAGAGCACAGCAGAAGAAATGCAGTTAAGCATTAATATGTTGCCTAGGCGGAGGGTCAGGGGAAGGAGGGAGCATTTGGGAAGATCGTTTTATGAACTATATCGATGTCTAACCAGTGTACTGTACACTTGAAACTAATTTAAATAAATTTATTATTTTAAAAAGTATGCCCCTCCAAGAGTGCTGAACAATTGTTTTTCAAATGTGTACACTGAATTAATGTATTTTATTGTTCATTTCAAAATAATTGGAATATTTAATAATGCTAAAACTAAAGTTGACATGGACTATCAATAAATTAAATTGGAATATCAATTAAGTAATTAACGGAATAGCCAGCCTTCTAGTAGCCTGAAGTCAGCTATATTTCTCTTTATACCATATCCCTTTCATAGGTTATTGTCATTGACCTTAATTTCTCTGTGGGAATAGGGAAGCAACAGCAAATTCCAGAGCACTGACTTAGAACACGGATCACCTGGGTTCCATACTATGTCCGCCACTGGACTACGAGTAAACCGTCTAACTTCTCTAGCCTTCGGTTCTATCATTTATTAAATTGAAGCTTGGGTTAGCTGATCCATGGCATACCAAGAGCTTTATTTGGATAAAAAAAAAATGTTCCTATATTCATATATTAGTGAAGTTTGTTAAATACATAAATTTTAAATAAATAAATAAATGCTGTTTGTTATTCGGGGAGCTCATTATTTATCCTTTCATGCTATTTGTTATATATTATAATTAGCCCTCCAAATTTTTTGTTTTCAAATATAAATGGTAGAGAGCAAGGATTCTGAAAATAGTAGATGGGAATAGTACATAATGTCACATACTATGTCCTCTGATAATGAATAGTATCTTCATAATAATTGAAAGTCTTATGCCCTTAAACTAAAGAGGAAATTCTGTGTGAGAGGATAGAAGGTTAAAGACTGAAATATAATGGGTTTCAGTAGTGAATCTGAGAAATTGTGTTCTCTCAAGAAAAGCTTTATAAAGTCAGATGTAAAATGGTAACTCCTCACCCCCCCCCAAAAAAAACCAGAATAAAAACAAAATTCATTATTATTCTTTTTAGGGTAGGTAGGATCCTGAAACGTTTTGGTGTTGTATACTCTTTTATCGCTAATACAAAGCCACAAGTCTTTAAACGGTAGTGAGTGAGTGTGTGTGTGTGTGTGTGTGTGTGTGTGTGTGTGTGTAGGAATGGGAGGAATGAGACACAAGAGGTTGGCAAAGAGAGAATAACGAATTATTTGTTTCTTTATCAAAGAAATCTCAGAAAGACTTGATGATCCACCTATATTTACTAGTGCAACGGTCAAGCATTTCTACAAGTCTCTGCAGAAATGGAGTATTTAAGAAAACACACAAGATAATTTAAAAGCATGACAGACTCTAATTTGCAGGTGAGGTGAGGTGAGAGCATTTAACATCTGTGGAGTTTTAAATGTCTCTGGTATTAAGTGCTACAGCTGCAAAAATAACTCCAAAGGAATATAATATGACTTAGAATACAGGGAAGAGCCTCTTATCTAAGCAATACAATGTGTGGGGTTCTTTTAACAGAAACCAATCCTGCATGTACTATATAATATCTGAACACTGATACACCAGCCCCTGTGGTTCACTTCCTGTTTTTGATTCTTAAGTTCCCTGGGGTGTGGGTGGAGGTGAAGTCTACGGGCTGTTATTATCTTTATTAACACAGTGGGGAGAGAGCAGCTTTGAGGTATCATATGATAGACACCTACTCTGTACTGATAACGAACATACCATTCAATATAGAGATAATCTGGAAAAGTGTTTAACTTTGCAAGTGAACTAGAACTCTAAACACCATGCATCCGTTCACATGAAGCGACAAACCAAAACATGATTTTAGAGAGTGATGAGTGCTGTAAGAAAATTAAGCAGTAGACCATGTTTCTGCCTATTTTAGATTCTGTGGTCAGAGAAGAGCTCTTTGTAGAGATGACGTTTGAGCTGAGACCTAAAAAACAAGAAGGACTCAGCAGGCAAAGTACCAGGCAGAAGGACGTTTTTGCACAAGAAATATGCAAGACAAATAGTTAACAATGCTGGATGAACTTGGCTACTTCCAGGAACTGCAAGAAGCCCTTTGTAGCCACAGCATCGTGAACACGTGTAGATGAGGTCCCAGAGTTAGGTAGAGTTTCGCTTTTATTCTAAGCTCTATTAGAGGTTTTAAAGTAGAGTGGGAAGTGCGTGACTTAATACAATTGACACTTGAAAATATAATATTGAGCTTCGATTTTTCTTCTTTAAAACCTAATACCTAATTCCCTTGCGGGTCAAATGACCCCCTGCGGTGCGTTCGCCCAGGCGGTTTGCGCTTGCCGAGAACTTGTTTGCCCTCGAGGCCCTGCGTCCTGCTGTTGACAGTCTCCGAGGAGCTTGTGACAGTTGGCAGGCGCCATGAGACACAGCTGGAGCCAAGTTGCTGCAGAGGTCGGAACTGTAGGAGAGGAAAGAGAGGGAGAAGAGGCGGTGGCAGTGCTCTGGGAGGGCCGCGGCCTCCGCGGAGAGTGGCGGCGGTGAGCACGCGGTGCAAGGGATGTGGCAGCGGGGCCGCGAGGAGCCTCCCTGGGGCTCAGAAGGCTCCTCCCTAGTTGCTCCATCCCGTAGGTTCCCCAGGTCTGTCCGGATTTGACATTGGAAACAATGGTGGCTCAGGATTGGAGGCAAAAGCGCGAGTTCCAGGGTTCGCGGATCGCTAAGAGAGTTTCTGCTTCTCTGGCCTAGCTCCACCAGGCCTGGCCAAGAACCCCACCGGCGGCACCCCCTGGAGCCGCAGGTGTTGATTCGGGGCTAGGCTAGGGCCGGCCTCCTGCCCACATTCTGCAGCGCCCGCGGCCCACTGCAAATCCAGCGCCGGGTTTTGCGATTCGCCTGCAAGTGGGGACCGCTAGCCAGAGGACTGGAGCCTAGGGGCTCACGGTTCCGCAGGGGTCCCGGCCGGTCCCTTAGTCTCCCCGCCAACGACCACTGGGGACCACTCTGCTGTGCGCGGGCACCTCTGCCGAGACGGCCCACAGCGCCTTCTTCTGTGAGCCTTGGTGAAGTGAGCTCCCCGGAGCCAGTCTCCCCAGGGAAACCGAAGCTTCGCAGTCTAGGGAGCAACCCTCGCCCTCAGGCTCTTGCTCTGCCCTCAAATCTCGGCTACAGTGGCACCTCCCAGCGAGGCCTCTCCTCACCGAGCCATCCGAATTAGCGACTCACTCTCCATCACATCACTCCGATTTAATGCTCAGCGGAGCATTATTTCGGCCTCGTGTATCTTCTGTGTTTATTGTCTGTTTCTGGAATGTCCACTCCACGGGGCAATGACCGTGTTTTTCTGCCACGGTGCTGCGTTCCCGGCGCCTAGGACCCAGCCGGGTAGGGACGCAGTGGGCTGTCACTTTTGCCGAACAACAGAACATTGTTCCCGGCGCTGTAAGAGACAAAAAGGCCGGCCTTTCTGAACAAGCCCCGCCCACGGGCCCGTCCCCAGCTCTAACCTGCTCCTATCCCTCCTCTCCCAGGAGTTGGCTTGGGGCGATGCGGTGCTTTTCTCTCTGGCCTCCCTCGCATTTTCTGCAGCTGTCGCGAAAACCCGGAGCGGCGGGACAGCAGAGCGGCGGAGCTGGGCCGCCCCTCGCGGCACCTCCCCAACAGCCCTCGGCGGCCGCGCTGGGCATGCTCAGTCGGCAGGGCCGCTTCAGCTCTCGGAGTAGGAAGCTAGGGTGCTCCGGCTGTAAGGAGCGGCGGCGGGGGGAAAATGGAGCCCTTCACCAGTGGTGAGTGGGTGGCCAGATGTGTCGGGGCTGAGGCTCTTTGGGGCCCAGGGGATCGGGGCCAGTCGTGACACTAGGGATCGGGCTGTCGCCCCCACCGCGGGTTGCCCGCGAGGGTTTGGGGGGCGGGGAAAGGACTGGAGGAGGCGGCCGCAGGCTTGGGGGCTGGGGGTCGGGCGGCGGCCAGCGCGAGGCCGCGGGCTGGTGTGAAGGTCAGCGCCACTGCCTGCCTGGGGTGGGGTGGGGTGGGGTGGGAGGACATCGGGTGCGGCGGGACCCACGCTCCGCTGCACAGCTAGGTGGGCGAACGGCAAAGTTTAGGCTCGGGTTCGCGGAGGTGGGGGCAGCGGGAAAGTTAGCAGCCCGGGTTTGACCCCGGAGAATGGGTGCCGGCCACGGCTCTTGGGTAGAAAGGGTTAAGCCGTGGCTCTTGCCAAACCCAACTTCTGTGCTGCGCTGGGAGCTGTCTCCCTGTCCTTCAGCGAGTTGCCGGCGTGACTTTTCCTAATAGGATAGAGTGTGTGTGTGTGTGTGTGTGTGTGTGT